AGTGGGGCAGGGAGATACCTGGGGAAATTCCCCAGCAGCGGCCAACACTGAGGATTGTGGGTATAGCCAGGTAGTCCTGGGCTTTAGATGTTAATTGGATCTGGGTTTGCTCCTGATGAGCCCATGCCCTCTCCAGAGAGGGACTGGCCTCTGTTTACCAGGTGTCTGGGGCCTGGAGGTGGGAGGTCACAGTCTGGTATATATTTGTATCACCATCAGATCAGTGCTGCGAGATCTGACACTTGTCAGCCAAAGCATTCATTCATTCATTCACTCCACAGTATGTATTGAGAAGCTACTGTGTTAAGCACTGTTCTAGGTTCTGGATATACAGTAGCAAATAAGTTCACATTCTAGAAGGGGGAGGCAAAAAGTAAACACATTGTAAAATATATAGTATGTCAGATGGCGATAAGTTCTCTGTCATAAATAAATAAGGCACGGAAGTGGAAGTGGGGAGGAGGTATTGCAAATGCAAATTGACTAATCAGGGGGATCTTATTGAGAAGATGACATTTAAGTGAAGACCAGAAGGAGCTGAGGGAATAAGCCATCCAGATATCTGGGGGAAGAACATGCCAGGAGAACTGCAGATGCAAAGGCGCTGAGGAGGAAATATGCCTGGTTTGTTTAGGGATCAGCGAAAAGGAGACCAGCAAGTCTGAAGTGAATAAGGAGAATGACAGGAAGTGAGGTTAGACTCAGAGCAATTGCAGGATTGGACTGGGGAAGGATTTACAAACCAGTGTAAGACCTTGGATTTTACTTGGAACGAGTGGAAAGCTATGGGGAGAGGGAATGAACAAGGGAGCAACATGATTTGATTAAGTCTTAAAAGAATCAACGCTGGCTGCTGTATTGAGAACAAGACAAAGAAGGAGGGATCACTCTTCCACCTTGTTCCTCTCCACAGGACAGCCCTGACTGCCACCTGATGCCCTCCCCTGGCCCTGTGCTGCCACCATCCATCCCCCGTCCATCCCCCTTTGGATTGGCTAAGCGTGTTCCCTCCCCTGGCTCCTCAGCTCCGGTTTGTGTCCACAGCTCCTCGGGGCTGGGCAAGGGCAGAACAGTCTGGCTGGGATCCCTGCTAGGTCTAGGTTTTTCATTGCTCAGCTAACTCCATCTCTCCCCAGCCCTCATATTCAGTGTTGCGGCGTCTTGCCATTCGCCCCAAAACCCAGTTCACACCCATCCCATCGGCCCCCAAAGCTCAGCAGGTAAGAGAGGGCAGGGAGGTAGCTGGTATAGGAAGGGAATGGATGGGTATAGGAAGAGTTATTACATCTCACTTCTATCCCAGGCTCAATGTTTGAGTGGCCTCTCTCCTCAGTCTTGCCCTGAAGAGCCTGCCCTGCCCTGGGTAAGTGCCCAAAGCCTTTCCATGCTGAAATCCCTCACTCTGTCCTGTTGGCCTGAGGTCCAGCAGTTTGTGGCAGGTGGGCTCTCTGGAAAAGCTGCCTAACTCTCCAAGTCTCCCTGCTTCTCTGCTGTCCCTCCTAATCTTAGTCTAGGGCAGTGGTTGGCAAACTCATTAGTCAACAGAGCCAAATATCAACAGTACAACAATTGAAACTTCTTTTGAGAGCCAAATTTTTTAAACTTAAACTATATAGGTAGGTACATTGTTATTAACTTACTTAGGATACTCCTAAGGCTTAGGAAGAGCCACACTCAAGGGGCCAAAGAGCCGCATGTGGCTTGCGAGCTGCTGTTTGCTGACCACGGGTCTAGGGCAGTGGTTCTCAACCTTGGCAGCACATTAGAATCACCTGGGAATCTTTTTAAAATCCTGATTTCTGGGCCTCATCCTCCTGAAATTCTGTTTCTTTGTTACTAATGTTGTGGCCCCACCCCATTACAAAGAAACAGAATTTCCGGAGGATGAGGCCCAGAAATCAGGATTTTAAAAAGATTCCCAGGTGATTCTAATGTGCAGCCAAGGTTGAGAACCACTCGTCTAGGGCCTCTCAATTAGAAACCTGACCCCTTCTTCATGAGGGTGGGACTCAGGCGGGTCTTCCCGTCCCAGCCAGACTTCCTCACATGGCCCCTCTCTCTTCCCATGTGGCAGGAGCAGATTGCAGTCCGGCTGTTTGACCAGGAGAATTGTAAAAGGTTACAGGAGGGGTCTGGGAAACCACCTATTGCAACTCCTCATGGACCCCATCCTAGCAGGACCCCCAACCTCCAAGAGCTGAAGATGCAGGTGGGTCTTTGTGGGCAACCGCTTTGATGCCAAATGGGCAGAGACAGGACTGGGGTAGGGAGAAATGGGAGGCGAAAGGGGTTGTGGGAATAGGACAGTGTGGGTAGAGACTTGAACCCTCATCTTGACATCACACTGGGGTATTCTCTCCCACACACAGCGCATCAGTATCCTGAAGCAGCTTTTGCAACAGGAAGTAGAGGGGCTGGCAGAGAGCAAGTGTGCCCCTCTTAGTGGAGGCTCCTCTCTGGATATGGTTGAACTTCGGTCCCTGCTGGCAGAGATTCCTAGAATTCTGAATGCCCCAGTGCAGAATTCTGGGGCTCTCCGCCTTCCTGAACTGTTACAGCACTCTGGACTGCCAAAGCCCTGCTTTCCAGAGGAGTGTGGGGAACCACAGCTCTGCCCTGGAGCAGAGCCTGAGGCAGCTCGGCCCTGCCCTCCGGCAGAGCCAGGGCCCCCAGAGCCCTGCCATAGGAGGGAGCCTGAGATACCAGAGCCTACCACCCAGAAGCAGCCTGAGGTATCTGAGGCCTGCCCTCCCGTAGAGCCTGGATCCGTTCAGGCCTGCTCCCAGGGGCAGGCTGGACTTCCAGAGCCCTCCCCTCGGGCAGAGCCTGAGGCTTCAGAGGCCTGCTCTCTGGAACCTAGGAGTACAGAGCCTAGTCCACAGTCCTGCTGCGGTCAGTGGGCTCCAGCGACCACCAGTGTGATCTTCTCCTCTCAACGCCCACTTTGTGCCAGCCCCACTATCCGCTCACTCCAGTCTCTGAGGCCCCCAGCAGGCCAGGCAGGTAAGTAGTTGGTTGGAAGGGGCTGTGAACAAAGGAGGTCCTCATCTCACTGGGAGCAGGACCTCTGCCCTGTACCCGGTGATGCCAGGCTTGCTTTCTTCCACCTACCTTGCCCAGCCTGGCTTGCCTTCAGGAAGATGGGAGGAGCTGGGCCTCCAGTCCTGTGCTCCTAATTGGTTTGCCTCTTGGTGGGGGATCGAGAGAGGGCAATATAAGGTAAGAGTATAGAACTCCAGAGCCCACCCTGAACTCTGGCCCATGGACCCCCAGGCCCCAGCAGTCTGGCTCCTCGAACCCTGGCACTGAGGCAGCGCCTCAAAGCATGTCTGACCGCCATCCACTGCTTCCACGAGGCGCGCCTGGATGATGAGTGTGCCTTCTACACCAGCCGAGCCCCTCCCTCAGGCCCCTCTCGTGTCTGCACCAATCCTGTGGCCAAGTTATTGGACTGGCAGGACGCCCTGGTGAGCCTCCCCATGCACAGCCAAGCTGTACCTACACAGCAAGCCTGTGGGAAGTAGGAAGCAGAGCAAAGGGGCCGACCTTGGCTCCTTTATAAAGATTATTGGGGAAGCGTTGGCTCACTTCAAGGATGGCTGGGCTATGACAAGGTCTTTCTCTTTCTCCAGTGTTTTATTCCAATTGGTTCTGCAGCCCCTCCGGACTCTCCGACATGAGGCACCCACTTCCACCCGTTCCTGCCCTGTCTTGATCCTTCCTTTTAGCCCTTATTTATTGTTGGTCCACCCTATGGGATTGGGAGTCGGGGAGTCGACACCCTTTTATCCTTCAATAAAGTTTCTAAAGTGTCTGAATATCTTTCCCTCTGGTCTGACCTGGGCCAGCTACTGCTGTTGCTCTCCAGTTGCCCACGTGGTGGCAGTGTCCTCCAGCTTAGAGCCAGCTCCGGACTCTCAGGATCCCAGGGCTCCCTCACCTTAGATCTGTCCTGAAGGGAAGAAATCATCCCACTCTTGTTCACCCCACCCACTCAGCAAGCTCCGTGACTGTGGGGCCAACACTCATTGTCCCCTTTGGTCACCTGCTCTTCTCCCTGGTTCTTAAGATCAGTGCACTTCCAGGAGCCGTCAGCAACTTCTTCATCCCCTAGAGACCCTCTTAGAACTCTCCCTGCATCAGGCAGAACACTGAACACTAGACCTATATCCTTGGAACCTTGTTGGTGTCACTCTGGTTGGTGACTCCCTACAGTGTAAGGCTGGAAGCTCTCCTGAAGCTCATACCGCTCCCCTCCCCGCTTCCCACATCACAGCAGAAGCCCTGGGCTACTCCCCTCCTCCAGAGGCAGGCTTGCAGGGAAGAACTAAGCTTTTGCCTCAGGCAGGGTGGGTGGGAGTCCTTGAGAGGAGTGTGGGTAAGGGTCAGCCTTCTGTCCCCACTCTGTGCACCAGTTAAGAGGCACACACACTCTCTAATGTCACTTTATTGGAAGAGGCAACAGCAGCCCAGATGGAGGTGAAATGGGGACTGTACAGAACGGATTTTAAATGCTAGGAAAGAATTCACTGGTTCCTCCAGTTCACAAGAAGGCTGCCAAGGCAGGAGCCTGGAGCCTGAAAAATGGGGATGGCAAGAGGTTTCACGACAGAGGACAGTGCCTACGCCAGTCCTAACATCTCCCACCTAGATGGACTCCTATCTCTGTTCTCCCTCCTACAACGCCAGGTCTGGCTAGTGAGACCATCCCCAGCTCCCAGCGGGAGAGAGGGCCAGTCCCCAGCTCCCAGCAGGAGAGAGGGCCACCGCCTCCTCGTTCTCAGACCCGCTTTCACAGGATGTGGGTGGTCCGCTCCCAGCCACTAATTCTGGAAGCACTGAGAGTCTGCCCAGTAAGGCCTCCTCCGGGAGCAGGCTGGTCCACCCCACAGCCAGGGTCTCAAAGGATGGGGTGGCACCTTGGGTGGGGCCAACTGAAAGTGGGTGAGGAGGGAAGAGAAGATAAAGGGCAAGCGAGGGGGGTGGAGGATGGGGCCGGCTCAGTCTGGGTAGATGATGAAGCCAGAGAAAGTGCTGTACTTGTTGGTGTTCCCGCCATGCACCTTCCCGCCGTCCAGCTTGATGAAGACTTCATCGCCCACATCCAGGTGCAGGATGACGCTGTTGCTGGCGTAGTCATAGTTCTGGTCTGCGTCCTGGGCAATGGCGCTGGCCCGGACCTACCGAGAGAGAACAGAACAACCCCCTCACTCCCTGTGCGGAGCTGGGGTGGTGAGAGGGGTCGGGCGGAGTAAGTGCAGCTGGGCCTGTGTAAGTAGCTGGCTGCAGGGGCTGGGATGGACAAGGAGAGGCCAAGAGATCTCGGAGCTTCTCAGGCACTAGTCTCACTAGCTATGTGACTCTGGCAAGTCTCACACCTTCTCTGGTCCTCAATTTGAGCTGTAAGGTGGAGGTAATAATAGAGCCTACCCTAAATTAGTTACTACATGTGAAGTGTATTAGAACAGTGTTTTGCACATAGAAAATGCTGTAAGGCCTTGCTATTATTATCATTTAAGAAATAAAATTTTAAAAAAATAAAAAGAAATAAAATTAGCCTGTAATTTCTAGGGTAATTTCTAAGATTCTGAACCCCCTCTGGCCTCCTAAACTTGCATTCCTATCCCCAAGTGTTAGGACACAGGTGTGTCCATGCATATCAAGGCTGAGGGCTTTAAATGGGAAGGTGCAGTGATGCATGCGTGCCTTGGGGTGCCCACTTCCCTCCTAGTTCCCTCTAGCGCACCCAGAGGGGTCGCCTTCTTCCCCAACAGGTAGCCCTTCCTCCTCTCTGGTCTCGCTGCCGCTGCCTCCTGCTGCCAGCCCCGCCCCCGCAACCCCCCTCTTCCTGTCCCGCAGGGGCTGGTTATTAACTCATTAATTATTCATCATTATTCTAATCACTATTTACTGTCCTCAGGGCCCGCAGCGCCCGCCCGTGCAGTGCAATTCTGAGTGGGAGCCACGCAGCCCCGGCCCCCTCGGAAACCGGCACACTCTATACACACTGCCTCCCCCTCCCCCCTCACAGACATCCCCGCCGCAGAGACCGCACACCTCCTCAATGCCACATACAAATAGACGTGCTCTTTGTTCACACCTTTGCACCAGCCCAAGCACCCAAAGACACACTTGGATCAATACACACTCACTTGCACACACAATCTATCTCATACAGACAGACACACAGACACTCGCACTCCCTCTCCCTGGGTTCCTGGGGCGGCCCTGCTGCGAGGAGACCCCAGTGCAGTGCCTGCGGGCCTTGCAGCAGGAGAGCGCTGTGGCCCAGCAGGAGGGAGTTTCCCCAGCCAGGATGAGCAGGCCCTATGCAGCACAGCACCCGCAACACCACCCAATCCCAGCGTGTGGGGGGAGGGGGCATTCCGAGGTCACCGCTAAGTCTCAACCTTATGCCCTGCTGGTTGCATGGCCCAGGCACCTAACCCAACCCTACGCCTGAGGCCCTCACTATTGCTGTGTGTCTGGGTCCTCGAGCTAAGCCACGGCAGCAGTGACTCTGGTTCTGACCACAGGGACAGGGAGCAGCAGAACCTGGAGGCCAGAGGTTGCCAGGGAGGATGTGTGGCCTACCGGACCAGGCCCCCCTTCTCTGCTTTGCCTTTCCTCCTCCAAACCCGTCCTTTGCCTTTTTTCCATCTCCAAATCCGTTCCTTCAAGCTGCCTGGCTGGTCCCTTGGTGAATATACCAGTTCTCACCTCTGCCTACTGACTCGGTATTAGCTGAGTGTAAGGCCACTCTAGAATTGGCCCTAGGCCCTGGGACTAGCAATAGCGCTGATGGTGACTGAGCCAGTATTTTCCTTCTTTTTTACCTTTCCCTTAAAAAATCCAGGCTGAACGCCCCACATGGGAACACCTGCCGACTGTGCACTGCCTGCGACCTGGCAGCCTGGCATTCCTGGGTTCAGTGAGGCTGTTTGGAGAAGGGGATGGGCTGTGTGATGAGTGCAGGGAAATTTAAGAAAGCTACCTGGCGAATCGGGGGTGGGGGGGTCGGGGGGGGGGAGGGGCATCTCACCTGTCCGTTCTTCATCAGGTCTGCCCACATGCTGGTCCCGTCGCCGCCGCGCATGAGCACATGGTAAGCGAAGAAGTAGACGCCCGGCATGGGGCAGGTGAACTTGCCGCTGGCCGCCTCGTAAGCGTTGCCCACGTTAGTCACCACGTCGTCGAAGCGCAGCACCTCGTAACCCTCGTGCGGCCGCCGCAGACCCGCATAGAAGGCAATGCGAGGCACGTAGCCGGCAGGGGGCGCCACCCCGCCGGGGCCGGGGCCAGGAGGGCCCGGGGGACCTGGCCTGCCCGGCTCTCCCGGTGGCCCTCTGGGACCCGGTGGTCCCGGGGGCCCTCGAAGACCTGCCCTTCCCCGCCGGCCCGCCTCTCCCTTGGAGCCCGGCGGGAAGGGGGGCACGGAGACAGGCGCGCCGTCGGGTCCCGGGCCTCGAGGCCCATGCGGGTCGCATACCATGCGACAGCGACCTAGCATCTCGTAGTGCGCTGGCCCGCGGGAGCTGTGCACCAGCAGAGGAATAGCCACCAGCAGCAGCAGCACCATGGCCACCCCGACGGCCGCGCCCGCCACCCGCTTGCGGCGGCTCAGACGCGACGCAGCCAGGGCCAGCAGATCCTCCTCACTCTTGGGCGCAATGGCGTCGGAGGCTCGGGGCTCTCCGAGGGCCCCCGAACCGGTGGCCCGGCTCGCGCCTGGGTCAGGACCCCCCCTGACGGCTGCGCCCGGTCCCCCCGCCCCTGCGGGCTCCCGCCTCAGCGGCGCGGTTCCCCAAACCTTCCGTCAAGGCGAAGGTCCCGCGTGGGTTGGGCCAGGGGCAGCTCCCGACGGTTCGGCGCCTGTGGTCCTCTATTAACCTCCTGTGCAGCCTATCGTCCCCGGGAGCCTGACATCTGCGGCTTCTCGGACGGCTGGCTTCTTACAGATCTAGGATTCGTGCTCTCTGGACAGCTTCTTTCTCCAGGATGGCGGAGCCTAGGTCCCCAGCTACCCAGACGGATTTCTCCTGGCCGGAGCGGGGACTGTTCTCCGCGCTCTGGACGTCCCGGGCTCTGCGCTGGGGTGGCACCCACCGGACGCGACCTCCTCCTAGGTTTTCGCTCTACCTCTTGGCGAGCACTGACCCGCCTTCCTACCCCAGCCGCGCCCCCAGCCCCTGCTGGAGCTTCGGCCCCGCGCGTCTCTCCTGGTAACGTGCTCCCTGTCTGCGTCCCTCACCTTCCTCTCCTCCCTCCCCAGGCGGCAGTGACTGTGGTGTGAGCAGCCTCGCGCCGGGAGCCGCTATAAGCGGCCCGGGGCGGAGCGACCCCTGGCGCCCAGAGCGGGAAGCGCGGGGGCGGGGCCGGCAGCGGCCCCCTCCCGCGGACCCCCGCCTCACGGTTGATGCCCGGCTCTGGGCGATTCTGCATGGGTTCATGTTCCCACCTATCCTTACTTCCACCCTCTACCCCGAGTTGGGTATTCCCGGAGCCCAGAGGAAGCCAGAAAATAGCGATGGGATAAAAAGGGGTCGAGATACACAAGATACACATAGAGAAAAGACAGGTGGATTCCTGAGCTAAAAAGAGCCACCCCCCCCCCGAAAAATTAAAATAAAATATAACAAGCAAACAAACGAGCCAAAAGGGTGGGGAGAAAAGAAATTCACCACCCCCTGCCCCTCAGTACCCATAACCAAATATCATATGGTAAAGGGTTCAACGGTACATTTTGTCTTGAACTAGAAAAGGCAAATCTCCAGCCACCGTACCCTCGACCCCCCAGCACTGGGGAGCACAGAGCCCAAGAGAATGAGGAAGCAGGAGAGAGTGAGAAAACAGAGGAGCCTGTGGAAGCCAGCAGCAAACCGACAGGAAAGCAGGGGGAGCGACAGGAATCAAAGAGACAGAAAGCCAGATAGAGACGCAGAGACAGAGACAAAGCTTGGAAAAGAGACTAACTGACAGCCCCAGAGGGGGAGAGGGAGAGACAGAGACGGCGAGAGAGAGGGGGAGACGGGAGCCCAGACAGGTTGACAGATCGAGAGAGAAATGTAAATGGTGCGCCGCAGAGAGACACCCAGGTCCGTGTTTGGACTCCAATGTGACATATCAACTGTGGGAAGACGCGGGGGCGGGGCGGTTCTTCAGCAGAGTGGTAGGCTCTGGGCCTGTGCATTGTGACCGTGCGCTGGCAGGTGTGGACGTGGATGTGGCCATGGGACCCTGGCCTTGTGTGTCCCTGGGTGAGTGGGGTTGTGGATTGTCTTGTCCTGGTGTGTGTATTGTGAGGGCTATTCGAAGAGAGGTTTTGTATTTGTCTTCCTCTTAGTCCTTAAATGTGGGACCCTATGAATGCCATTTCTCCTATCTCGGGGGAGTGGAGTCCACTGGGGAAAAGAGTCAGCAGGCGGCTCTTGTCCCTTTCCCATACCCAGCCTCGCCTCGTTCCAGCCCTGCCCTAGTCCCAGATTTTTGTCCAGCCCTAGGATCTCTGCCACCTTCCCTCCCCCTTCCTCATAGGTCTGTAGTTAGAAAGACAGAGAAGTTGATAGAAACCCCACATAATGAATGTTTGGAGGAGGGGTTTGAAGTTGGTTTTATAAATTAACATAACCAAAATGCAGATTAACTTCAGGACAGCCTCCCGTGAGAGATGACTGTGTCTGGCACTCCTGTGACCAAGAGGGAACACAAGCTTTGATAGTTCCCTCTCTGTGAGGGGTCAGAGTCCAGAGAAAAAGCGAATGGCTGCATTCCTCCTTAGGGCCTGGCCCTTCTGGGGGAAATTACTTGCTTACAGGGACCCCGGGGGCCAGAGGCATGGAGAAGAGGCTCTAGGACTGGCAGAGTGGGGATGTTTGAAGACCCTGAAGGTGGACAGCTGCAAAGGACTTCTTAGAGACTAGGATAGGCCGGGGCTGTCATGTATAGGAAAATGATGTGTACAATGGAGGGCACAAAGCACACCAGGGCATGATTATTGGGTGAAGGTGATTTCCTCATTTCTTCTTTACTGTACCCCTTTCCTGCCTCTTCCAGCCCATGATGGTTCAGGGAGAAAGAGGTTGCTGAGGGTGGGCCTGTGCGGAGGAAGGCCCCTACATGCTTGAGAAGGTTGGGAGAGAAAGAATTGGCAGTCAGTGGGGGAGGGGCCTCCTCCTCCAACCATAAATACAAATTTTATTCAAGGTCTTTGTCGCCATTTGTCTTCCTGGGGGTGGGGGGGAGGCTGAGGGCCATGTCGGGGCCGTGCATGTCTAATTCCAGATCTGCTCCCCTAGGCTGGATGATGGATGGGTCAGCGAGAAGAGAGCAGGTCAGGGCTCACATCAGCCTCTCCTGCCTGATCCTCAAGCCCCATCATCGACCCCAGGTCCAGCCACTCCTCTCCTTTCTCCTCCCCACTCCCTCCACTCACCTGAGGCAATCTTTGCTCAGCCCTGCTCCCTATCCCACTCTCCAACTCACAAAGACCCTTTTTTTTGAGCCCCTCACCTCAGCCTTCTTCTCTGGAGCTTCCCTTCTCCGCCTATCCCCAGCCCAGGCTATGAGCTGCGTTGACCGGCAGGCTGCAGGCAGCAGCGGTGTGTGTGGTGGTGGTGGTGGTGGTGGGGGGGGGGGGGAGCAGGCTTGGCTCACAGGGAGCTGAGGGGCCAGCTCCATGAATTTATTCATGTTCTGTTGCTCTTTCCCCAGGCTCTGGAATGAAGCTGCCAGCTTACTAGGTCCTTATTTCTTCCCCTGCAGCTGTCACAAGGAGGGATCTGGGTAGGGTCAAGGCCAGTGCTCCTGAGGCCAAAAGCCAAGTGTCTGGGTTCAAGAGGAAATTCTGGGGCCCAAGCTGGGACCTGGGATTATTTCCCCAAAGCTCTTGGGGAACCAAACTCGGAGGCCCCAGGGCAGTGATATGGTTGGGAAGGGGAGGTAAGCAGAGAAGGTTGTGCTACCGGACATAGAAGGAGCAGTGGAGGCGGGGACAAGGCTGATGGGGGAGAAGAGGAGAGGGGAAAACTTTAAGGAGTTCCCTAGGCTCCCCTCTATAAAAGCACAGTCTAGCTCTAGCCTGAATCTTGCCTTAACCTCCACCCCAACTCTGCACTAATCCTGACCCTAATCCCAAATTATACACTTGACTCCTGTATAGTCCTAATATGAATCCTAACTCCATATCCTCATCGTAAATGGAGCCCCTCCCCACTGGTCCTCTCCTGGAACCCAGGGGTCTCTCAAGAATTTTCCCCAGGGCTTACAGTCAGGTGTGCCTCAGAGTTCTGAGGACCAGACTTTTGATTAGCATGTGATTAGCATATTATTTGCATGTAATATGTGCCTTCTACTCTGCAGAAGTTTTCATGTTAAAATTTTATGAAGTCTAGCAGAAAGGTCCTGGCTTCTTGAAGGTTCTCTCTTTTTGTTCCTTTTCCCACACTCCTTATCACTGATCCCAATGCCCTCAAGGGGAAGAAAGGGGGTGAGGAGATGAGCAATAAAGGGCTCATGGGAGGGAAGAGTCTGGCAGGGTAATCTGCTCTTGTCATTGCAGTGTAACCTCCACAAGCCTCAGTTTCCTTATCTGTAAGAAGAGAGGAACCAGCTGGCTGATGCTACATTAAGATCTAAGGAAGCACTCCCCCCCCCCCCTTGCACTCTTTCCTTTCCCACCTTTTAGAGGTCATTCATGATGTGGTTCTCCTCCCTCCCCACCCCATACACACATTCTGGCTTTCAGCTCCCACACCTAAGATGACACAGGATTGGAAGCAGCTTGAGCTGCCGGGCACCAGACCCTTGATATGAAGAGAAAGGAACATTGCCCATCTGACAGCATAGAAAGGGAAATAACATTCCTGGGCGTTTCCTGTGTGTTAGGGCTTTTACATGCAAGATCTCACTGCATGTGAGATCCTCCCAGCATGCTGAGAGGTGAATATATTGTCTCCATTTTACAGACGAGGAAACTGGGGTCCAGAAAGGAGAAATGGCTTGTCCTAGATAGCCCTGTAAGTGGCAGCACTGAAAGGAGTTCTAATCTCCTGGCTTCCTTCCCAGTGCCCCAGAGAAGAGGAAAGGCAGTGGAAGGGTGAGAGAAGCAGGAGGGAGTAGGGAGCGAGATCTGAACTCCTGTTAAAGGGGAGACCTGTATGTGAACCCAGCAGGCTAGGTACTTGGCTCAGCGTAGTCCCCATCTCCAACTACCAGCGCTATGGAGACTGACTGACACCCAATGGGTGTTCAATTTCTAGCTAACAGATGTCAGTGTACGTTGGCTGCGGAAAAGAGCTGTTCGGAGGGAGAAGAATATGAAGCCAGCCTGAGGAAAATGTGCTCAAGAGGTGAAAGGGAGCAGGGCAGGCCAAGAGGACTAAGGCCCGCTCTCCCTCTCCCACCTCCAGTGGGAAAACAGTCACGGCCCTAAGAGCATGCACGCACTTTGCCCCCTTGCACAGAGGATGGCAAGGCCTCAGCCACCGGGGAAGGGCAAGTGCACCGCAGGGCCTAGGCCTCCCCTCATCTGCCGCAGGAGCCCCTGGAACCGCAGCTCCGTGCAGACTTGGGTTCAAAGAACCTCGCCAGCGC